AAATATAAAATATATTGATAATTTTATAAAAATTTCATTGTCAAAATGATAGTATTTTATATATGTTAAAGTGAAAAATAACTTACTAGCATTAATTTTACTTATTATTCTTATCTTTCTAATGTAATTAGTAAAGTTTCTAGATTGATATATGATTTATCTTTCTATAAGAAAGCTATTATGACACGCAAAATTAATTCCACAGGCTTTATAAGTTTATGTTGCGTCGACCACTGGACATAAAATATGGATGCCAAGCTGAGGATACAGACTTCTGAGAGTGTGCTTACCTAGAGTGCAATCCCCAGCACGTCAACCTAACAACAGCAAAAAAAAAAAAAATGTTCTGAGGTGGATTTTGGAGAGGTAACTTAATTGACAGAGTGCCTATCTGGCATGCACAGAGCCCTGGGTTCCATCTTTAGCCCCACATACAAGTAGGCATGTGAGCTGCACATTGTAATTCCAGTATTCAGGAAGTGAAGGCAGGAGAATCAGAAATTCAAGGTCATCCTCAGCTATGTAGCAAGCTGAAGGCCAGCCTGGCCTATGTGAGAAAGGCCAGCAGAAAAAGAAACGCTTGCACCTACCAATTTTCTTTAGTCTGTGACACATATTTATGCTTCAGCTGTCTGTTGGTGCATTGTTCTGATCAGAAACTTCATGAGATAATATCATTTTTGCTTTAAAGAGTCACATTACTTTAACAGAACTTTGGTGAGAAGCCAGTCTTTTACGGTCCTCCACAGGGTTATCATCTCCTGAAGGTTCTAGATTTCACTGGGCTTCTCCTTTCTGAATCTTTTCTGGAATTTCTCCCTCGTCTTCCAGTGAATGTGCCTGCCACAAACTCTGTTCTCTGGTTCTACAAATCAGAAATGCTTTCTTCCAGAACTTCAGCTGTCCTGTGCAGCACCACCTGGAGCCTGCTCTTAGGCTGAGCCACCGAAACACCATATGGAAGGGGCACTCATTCTGTGCTCTTTGTACTGTTGACTCCCCTGCAGGAACGGCCTCACCTTTCACTCTACAGCACCTTCAGCTTGCTTCCCCTATTTCCCCTTCTCCACACTCGCCTCTAGCTTATAGCTGTACTTGTGGAAACCTAACTGGAACTTTATCAAACTACATTAAGGATAAAAAAGATGCCTCTTTAAAAGATGACATGGAGAGTAACAACACAGAAAAACACCACCAACTATACATCAGATATTACTGATTCTAAAGTCTAGTGATCATACATTTTATTCAGAAATTTCTGCTGACCATTTTCTTCAGAACCCCAGCATTATCAGCCTGTTTTCTGAAAAAAAAAAAACCCTGCAATTCCCCTATAAATATTCCGTATGCATTAAACAAATACTGCTGTGAACACCCAGCTGAGCAACTACCCGGAGTCACTCTGCACCGTTCTTGCCCCCAGATGTTCCCCAGTATGCCCTGGATGTCACTGTGATCCAGGGACTGAAGAACCACACAGGGCACTTCAGAGGGGCCTCTGGAGCTAGCTTTAACACCGTGTCCTGAGCCCATTCTGGTGCGTAGGGGTCCTGTGCTATCAGTTATTCATGTCTTCAATATCACCTTATACACCACTAACAAAACATCATTTATCTAATGATAGAGAAACAGAATATTTAGGTTTTCAGTCTGAAGCACTCAAATTACTGATCCAAGTTCAGGATTTCCTTGAAAGCCCTACATTGGCAGGAATAAACCATCTGGCTTCTTCCAGGTGCAGACACGGCCTTCATTTACTCTGCATAAAGGTAGCTTCCTCTTAACATTTTCTATTTGTCATGTCATATCTTGATAGTATAAATTACATTTTTACTGTCCATCGTTCCCAGCAAAATGCTGCCTATGCAGTAGTAGATAGCTGATAACTTCCTTTTAAATCTCCTCAAACAAATCTAACAAGAGAACACTCAACACATAAGTCAAATGCACTTTGAGAATTGACTGCATAAAACAGTAAGAAAGGAAATTTGTCTTTTAAAGAAATGTGGGTGCACGACAGTTTGAGTGATGTGAGGAAGTCAAAACTTCCTCTGAAGTCAAAACTTCAGAGTCAAACTCTGAAAACAAGCAGATTCTTTCTGTCTTTTGCCACGTGCTGCTGTCCTACTGGACAAGCACAGGGACGTGTGCAGAGGAAGGGTTATGTGGATTCCTAAATTTTAGCATTTTGTTGAGGAAAACCTTCAAGGTAGTCATAATTTGCTTTTTGATTAAATTAAGCCTTTCAAATGATGTTTACTATTCCATAATTACTGTGCAGTCGGATAATATACCTTGGTAATACACCTTTATGAGAGATTTCATTAGATAATATACATCTTTCTAAAATAATATTCAATGTTTGGTGCTTGAATTAAGGTGAATAAGATGTGCAACTAGCTTTATGCTTTTTTGAAGATTAATCTACTTTATGCCATTACAAAACTATTTATGAAACTTTTCTCAATACCTCAAGTCCAAAGCATAATTAAAACCACACCCTTATTTTTCTTTTAGTAAGCTCCTGACTGTGGCAACGTGCTTGCTAATATGGCTCCCAAAAAGAAGACTGTCAAAAAGAACAGAGCAGACATCAATGAGATGACCATCACAGTGGAAGACAGCCCCCTAAGCAAACTAAGTGCTCTGAACGGGCTGCTAGATGGAGGCGATGGCCTTAGCTGCATTTCTTCTGAACTAACAGACACTTCTTACGGCCCTAACCTACTGCAAGGTTTAAGTAAAATGAGGCAAGAAAGCTTCCTTTGTGACTTAGTCATTGGTACCAAAACCAAATCCTTTGATGTTCATAAGTCAGTGATGGCTTCATGCAGCGAGTACTTTTACAACATCCTAAAAAAAGATCCATCAACTAAAAGGGTGGACCTTAATGATATTGCCCCTTTAGGCCTAGCCACAGTGATTGCATATGCCTATACTGGAAAGCTGACCCTCTCTCTGTACACAATAGGCACCATCATTTCTGCTGCTGTTTACCTTCAGATCCATACTCTCGTGAAGATGTGTAGTGATTTTCTGACACGCGAGATTAGTGTTGAGAACTGCATGTATATTGTTAATATTGCTGAAACATACTCCTTGAAAACTGCAAAAGCAACAGCCCAGAAATTTATACGAGATAACTTCATTGAATTTGCCGAATCTGATCATTTTATGAAGCTTACATTTGAACAAATTAATGAGCTTCTTATAGATGATGACTTACAATTGCCTTCTGAGGTAGTAGCATTCCAGATCGCAATGAAATGGTTAGAATTTGACCAAAAGAGAGTGAAACATGCAGCAGACCTCTTGAGCAATATTCGCTTTGGTACCATCTCTGCACAAGACCTGGTCAATTATGTTCAGTCTGTACCGAGAATGATGCAGGATGCCGACTGCCACAAGCTGCTAGTGGATGCTATGAACTACCACTTACTGCCGTATCATCAAAACACTCTGCAGTCTAGGCGAACAAGAATCCGAGGCGGCTGCCGAGTTCTTGTCACTGTTGGAGGACGCCCAGGCCTGACTGAGAAGTCCCTTAGTAGAGACATTTTGTATAGAGACCCTGAAAATGGATGGAGCAAACTTACAGAAATGCCGGCCAAGAGTTTCAATCAGTGTGTGGCTGTGATGGATGGATTCCTTTACGTAGCTGGTGGTGAAGACCAGAATGATGCCAGAAATCAAGCCAAGCATGCAGTCAGCAACTTCTGCAGGTACCTGATAATTATTGATATTGGAAATGGATAAAAATGTGGGGAGACTGCTTTGACACAGAGTAATCATGCCTGTTATCTTAGTGCACTGGCCCAGTAATAATGATGATGATGCAGCTTTAGATACATTCTGTGCCTCATGCAAAGTGCATTCAAGTATGCATGCACCCTAGATTTATTTTGTGAAGTTGGCATACATGATGGGTTTCATCACACATTTTCACACATCGTCACACTTTGTTCTTATCCGTCCCCTCACCCTTCACCTCTCTCCCCACCTCTTCTTCTTGGTCCTTCTGCTTTCACATCTCATGAATTCCATTACCACCCCTTCTTCCTCCCCTTCATAGTTTCCTTTCTATTTGCACCAGAGAGAGAGAGACAGAGACAGAGACAGAGAGACAGAGAAATAGAGATGGAGACAGAGATTAGAGAAAAATTTTAATTCTGTATACGAGAGAAAATAGAGTATTGTCTAAATCTGACTTATAGTTTGCTTAACATAGTGACCTCCAATTGTATACATTTCCCCACAAACATCATGATTCCATCTTTTATGACTGAGAAAATTCATTGTGCATATCCACTTCACTTTCCTTATCCATTCCCCTGTGGATGGACACCTAGGCTGGTTCCAGTTCCTGGCTTTTGTGAGAGCACCATTAAACATGGAAGCGTGCTTAGCTCCATGCTGTGCTGACTTGGAGTCCTGCCAGTACATGTCCAGGAGTAGCGTGACTGGGCCAGATGAAAGCTCCGTTTTCAGTCTTTTGAGGGAAAGCTACACTGATTTCCAGTCAGTGTATCAGTTTACACTCTCAGCAGTAGTGGGTATGAGTTCTTTCCCCACATCCTACCAGCATTTGTTTGTTTTCTTGATGATGGCCGTTCTTTCTGACTGGGGTGAGAAAGAATCTGAAAGCAGTTTTAATTTGCATTATGCTGATGGCTAAGAATATTGAACACTTTTTCAAATATTTACTGGTCATTTACATTTTTCTTTTGACATTTATTGAAATTTTTGAGTGTTCAATTTTTGCAGTTCTTTATGAATTCTAACTATTGATTGTTATCTGATATGTTCTTAGCAAAGAAATTTCCCCCATTCTGTACCTTGTCTCTTCAATCTTGTGCTGCCTGCACCTTAGATTTCTAGAACAAGCCTGTGAGGTGGAAAGGGAAGACAGGATATTCTCACTTTATGTGTGACAAACCTAATACAGAGAAGTCGTAGCACCAAGGGGTAGTGATTTGCATTTCTGCCTTCTAGGTGGGTCCAGTACACCCACCCAGTAAAAGAATTTAGTTTTCAAAACTAAGTACTAAGAAACAATAAAATAGGGACAAGGAAATGACTTAATGGGTAAAGTGCTGGTTGCACAAGCCTGATGGCCTGAGTTTGGTTCCCAGAACACAAAGAAGCTGGACAGAGCAGCACATGAATCTTTGATCCCAGAACAGCCCTATAAGGAGATGGAGGTGGAAACAGGAGAATTTCCAGAAGTTCGTGGGCATCTAGCCTGACATAGGAAGCAATGAAGAGAGAGAGCATATCTAAACCTAGATGGAAGGCAAGAATCAACACCCAGTGTTATCTCTGACCTCCATACATGCACCATGGCACAAGTGTTCCTACACTCACACAACACACACACACACACACACACACACATACACACACACACACACACACACACATACACACACACACTCCTTACCCACACACAGAGAAAACATAGTTCAAAATTCCCTTAAAGTTTAGTTGTTGACAACTGTGAGGTTCATAACTGGTAAACAAAATAAGGTCATTAAAAATGCAGCAGCTAATGAACTTTAAATATTTGGAGACTGAATAACTGAAAGTATCATTATTTGGACACAGGAAAAGAACAAAAATAGACTACATCCTTCAAAACTGGAATTTAAGACCATATTACTTTTGTATATGTCTGACAAAATTAAACTTCCATATATATGAAATGTTCACCAAATCATGCTTATAGCATGACAGTAGTACAAAGTCCAACAAGCAATGAGCTAACATCTCATTAAAGATATTCTGGTTTCAAGATGCATGTGTAGACATCATGAAACAAGAGTCAAAACAAAGGGATGGAGAGATGGCTCAGACATCAAGAGCCCTTGGAAAGGACTCCTTTGGTCATGTCAGGATGCTCACAACTGCCGTACCTCCAATTCCCTCGGGATTTGATGCCCTCTTCTGGCCTCTCCCATACATACACACAGATACGCATGCATACACATAATTTTTAAAATCTATAAAAATAAATCTTTTTGAAAAAACAACACAAACAATTGACTTTCAGTCTTTTTATCTCCCCTTTTCAGTTCTGGGCCTTGAACCCAGGGCTCACTTATGACAGGCAGGCACTCTGCGACTGAGCCAGGGCTTCAGCCCTGGTGGTCCTTTTCTGTCACTACTTGAAAGTTTTACTTGGATGTGAAACAGGACAAAGATGCACATCACACCGAAGGAGCGAGTCCTCTGCTCTTAGTACTTCTGAGCCATGTAAACAAGGGAAATCAGTTTACCCAGTCTGTTTCTTTTCCATCTGCTGATTTCACCTTTCAGCATTCAAATTGGTTTTGTGAGTGTTGATTTCTGTACTGAAAACAATACAGCATTAAAAAAAAAATCTCTATAAACTCAAACTTTTTAATCTACCAATAAGCAATGGAAAACAGAAGAGTTTTGTCTTGGGGCTGGAGGGACTGCTCAATGCACTTACAGAGGACCGGGGTTCAATTCCCAGCACCCACATAGCTGCTAACAACCCTCTGTAATTTCAGTTCCAGGGAATCCAACGCCCTCTTCTGGCCTTCACAGGCATTGCATGACACCAGTGCACTTACATACATGCAGGCAAAACACTTATAGACACAAAATAAAAACAAATATATCAAAAAAATTTAATCAAGGCTTTGTTGATTTTAGACATGAATTCCATTGGTGTAGTCTAACAGAGGAGGGAGGTTCAGATGGGTGGATTAGCTGGCTCTTGCGGCAATGAATGGCCAAGACAGGCGTACCGGTGTGGAGGGGGGCGGTCTGTAAGGAAGGAGAAACCCATCAAGCAACTCCTGTCTTAATTCAGTAGCAAGAGAGAGCTAGGGGTCCTTGGTTTGGGAAGATGGCGGAATCGCCCTTAAGGGCCCGGTTCCCTCCAGAGACACTCAGCTTTTATCCTGTTACCCACGTGCTCACCTCTAAATCCCGGTGGGTGGAGACGTCTGCGGGCTCGGTGTTGTCTAAATGGCTTCGAGAACCGTCTGCCCCACGTTCTCAGGCTGAGCGGAACACCAGGCATGGCGATGAGACCCCGCTTCCCGGCAGGCTCCGGCCAGGGTTCCGCTAGGGCGGGAGGGGCTGCCCGCGTGCACACCCAGCCGTCCCACTTTCTCTGCACCCTCAGGTACGACCCCCGCTTCAACACCTGGATCCACCTGGGCGGCATGACGCAGAAGCGCACGCACTTCAGCCTGAGCGTGTTCGACGGGCTGCTGTACGCCGTGGGGGGCCGCAACGCCGAGGGGAGCCTGGCTTCGCTCGAGTGCTACGTGCCCTCCAGCAACCAGTGGCAGCCCAAGGCCCCGCTGGAGGCGGCGCGCTGCTGCCACGCCAGCGCCGTGGCGGACGGCCGCGTGGTGGTGACCGGCGGCTACATCGGCGGCGCCTACTCGCGCTCCGTGTGTGCCTATGACCCCGCGCGCGACGCGTGGCAGGAGCTGCCCGCGCTAAGCACGCCCCGCGGCTGGCACTGCGCCGTGGCGCTGGGCGGCAGGGTGTACGTGATGGGGGGCAGCCAGTTGGGGCCCCGCGGCGAGCGCGTGGACGTGCTCTCGGTGGAGAGATTCTGCCCCGCCGCGCGCTGCTGGAGCTTCGTGGCGCCGCTGCCCGTGGGCGTGAGCACGGCGGGCGCCTCTGCGCTGCACGGCCGCGTCTACCTGCTGGGCGGCTGGAACGAGGGCGAGAAGAAGTACAAGAAGTGCATCCAGTGCTTCAGCCCCGAGCTCAACGAGTGGACGGAGGACGACGAACTGCCCGAGGCCACCGTGGGCGTGTCCTGCTGCACCCTGGCCATGCCCAACAGCGTGACGCGCGAGTCGCGGGCCAGCTCGGTGTCCTCCGTGCCGGTCAGTATCTGAAGCCGGGGAGAAGCGGGGACGCGGGAGAAAGGGCACCTAGCCCTTGGAGACCCGTGCGCAAACCGAGTCAGCCACAAGGGAAATATATACCATTTACTACAATGATTGCGGTGGCAAACCCATCTAGAGCCATGTCTTGGCGGCTTGAAATTCTTGGTATGGCATAATCTACCTCTTTTTTTTTTTTTTTTTTTTTTTTTAAACAAACTCGGGGCTGTAGCCAGCAAAGGAAGCAGTTTATTTCTGCAGCCACTGGGTGGCAAACGGAGGTGGAGGTGGCTGTAGGCTTGCTTCCAAAGAGGTGGGCTTCCTAAGTTCGTATTGGATACACCCACATTGAAAGTTTTCTACACTGTACACATGCAACATAATTTCTTTTCCTTCACTTGCCTGAATCAAGACCTCATGACAAAGAAAGCTTTGAACAAGATCCGACTGGAAAGGAACACATTCTACCCAGAGCCCCCCAGGTGCCAGCTTTGGGTTAATGGCATGTCCCTGCATCCTGCCCTCTGAGCCCCGGTCATACTCTATCAGAAAATCCTACTCTCAGAGGAGTTGTTACCAGTCATTTAATTTATAGTGTAAATTTAAATAATTTTATCATTTCTCTCAGAAATGTTTGCACTTTATCTATCTATATCCTGAGTTTCATCTTTGTTTCTCTCTCTCTCTCTCTCTCTCTCTCTCTCTCTCTCTCTCTCTAATTTTAAGATTATGTGTCTATTATATTTGCCTCATCTCCCCCTCACTGGACATTGAACTAGGGCCTCATGCATGCTAGATAAGTGCTCCACCAGGGAGCCACATCTCCAACCCTATTTTTATTTTGAGATAGGGTTTTACTAAGTTTCCCAGGCTGGTCTTGAATTTATAGTCCTCCTGCCTCAGCCTCCCAGGTAGCTGATTTTACAAGGTCTACAGCAGGCACAGCTCCCCTTTATTGTTGCCCAGGACAGACTTTATTAAAGGTAGAATGGCCTCTACGTAAGCCCTGGAAAGATCACCACGTAGCACTCTGTTCTTGAGGATAACGAGGCAGTGACTAGATGAAGGAGTAAGTTCTCCTGTTGATGAATGCTGTTTGTTTCTCCTGGTTTCTAGATTTAAATCCATATTTCACATGGAAATATTGAACTAATAAAACGTGCTCTTTGCGACTTTTGTTAATATCATTTACTCCCAATTGCTTTGCAAATCAAAGAGTGTACCCTCTTGCTACCATTTCTTTCATATATTTGCCAAGTTTGGGGAAAAGGGAATGATTGTAGTAAATGATACATATTTTCCTTTCTTATAATTTATCACTTTAATCTTTGATAGTGTATTTGTTTTAGAGAGAAGTGCCTATCAATTATGGGTTATGTACAATTTTTTTTAATTCAACAACTTACGGGGTTAAACATAGATATCTGGAGCTCTATCTTGATTTTCATTAATCCCAGCCTCTCCTTCTGTGAAGAGGCTATGGTTGTAGTTATGATATCTATAATCTATATCTAAATACAGCCATCCCTCCTTATCTGTGAGTTACACATCTACAGATTCAACCAGTCACAGGCTGAAAATACTTGAAAAAATTGCAAATGTACCAAACATGCACAGACTAGTTTTTTCCTTTGTCTTTTCCTAAGTGATACAAGTATTTACATATCAATTGCCATTATATTAGGTATTATAAGAATCTAGAGATGACATAAATTGTACAGGAGGATGTGAGTGGGTTATATATAAATACTGTTCCATTTTGTAAATGGACTGTGAGCGCCCACAACCAGGGAATGGGGATGCCCTGGTACCAGTCTCCAAGAACACTTGAGGGATGGCTGTATCTTATTCAGCTTCAAAAAGTGGTTCGTATAAAACATTCGTGGAACTACTTCCTCACTGCCCCTTATGGAGTCTTATTCTTGAGTATTTAATGAAAACACTCAGGTACAGACTGTAAACATTGCAAGTAAATCTGACATTATTTTTACAATGAAGTGTAAAAACACTGAGCTGTTTTCTTACATCACACAGAAAAAAAAAAAAAAAAAAAAAAAAAAAAAAAAAAAAAAGTTTCGCCAGGTACAAAGAAATTCTAAGAACACCTGCTCCCGGAAAATGAAAGTTCTGTGAGAAAACAGATTGTGGAGCAGGATAAAGCGCTGACTCAGCTCCTGGTTTACCCATAATACAACTTGCATTTGCCACTGTCTTTGTGGCAGCACTACTGAAATAAGCTTCTCGTTCTTGATCCATCCTTTTGAAAGCTGTGTGAGGGAGCTGCAGCATCTTTTCAGGGTTATATGCACACCTCTACAACCGAAAAGCCTACTGTTATTATTTAAAGGGAAAAGGTGCTTTGTTGTGAATTATAGATGATAATTGAGAAAATAGATGTAAAACTCATTGATGCACACAAATAGGTGTTTCTCACATTGAGAGGGAGACCAGTCTCCAAATGAAGTAAAAATCAATGGATCGTAATATTTTATGATTTGAAAAATGAAGAGACTGAAATCAGAGGAGTCTTGCCTCTCAGGGCTTGATAAGGTAGACTACAGAAGCCAGGTCGAGGCTCTCTAGAGATGAAACTAGAGACTTAATAGAATGGACAGACTATTTGAAGTTACCATTTAACTTGTTTTCTGTATTGTTAATCTGAAGAGTCAGAACATACACATAGCTGGGCTTACCAGGGTACAATGTGGTCGATAGTGTGTGGTACATAAGGGCTGGTGGAAGTTTGAACCCCAGCGCATCCTGCACTGCCAAGCGAAAGGCAGAAACGTATGTTATCTAAATGATAAGTGTCACCTCCAGGTTCTTCAGTCTCCCGGAGGTTGCTGCCTCTAGGAAACACAGTCCACTTTCCAGATGAAAACTTTACTTCATTTTATTATGGCTTATGATTACTTATTCAGTAATACTTCCAAGACTTAAGATCCAACCATATCCTTCCTTTTATTTTCCTGAAAAGACTTGTGATTTTTGTAATGCCTGCGTTCTGTGATCAAATAAATGCATCAGCTCAACTATCAGAAATACATGTTACCCAGCATCCAAAACAGCAAAACTCAAGCTATCTTTTTTGGAATGGGCCAGAGACCTGATCAGAAATCTCCAGGAAGCCAGACCTTAGTACAGCCTGTCCACTTTCAGCGAGGATTTGGGGGCTGAGCTGGGATCACTAATGCACATTCAGCGGTTACATTCAGCGCATTGAATGAGCTTTATTTTTACTCCCTATGTTGTAAGAATGATCACAAATACAAAGTCAATGATGGTACAGATCTCTAGAATGGTTAGATGGTGGTGGCATAAGGAGGCACAGCTGATGTAATGAGCAAGTGAGTCCTGAGTGGCTCTGTGCTTTACGACACAGCAATAATTACAGTATGTGATTTTACATGTATGTAAATAGAGGTTACCTGGAAATGGGTGTTAGGTCATTTTCTCTTGGCCAAGGGTTGAGAATTCAGCTAAGTTACTAAGTTAAACAGACTAAAATAATTTCATTTCATACATTTTCTCTTAGTTATAACTGAATGAACTGTGTAGCAGTCTCTGAATGGGCTGGGTCCCTATCCCAGCCACTGGTGACTGTTCTTAGCACAAGGCAGCAATAAATCAATAAAAATTATACTAAACGCTCTTACGGATAGAACTAAAGACAGTAAAATAGTAATAGTTCACCCTTATAGCGTACTATTTAGCATTTCCCTCTCAGTGAGTTTGATGAAAAAGAAATACTTATCTTGGATACCCCTAAAATCTTTTTTTAAAAAATTTATCCAGAAAATTTTGGCAGAAAATTTGTTTGCTTAAAACATCCTGGTACTGTATAAGGAACAACAAACAAAAAAATGTATGTAGTGTTATTTTGTAACCTCATCACTGTTAATAAAGATGCATTCAGAATGAGCTGATTAAATGCTCAAATGTGGGCAGTTTTTGAGTATTATTTCTTTGATGACTGTAGTGGGGTTTTTCTTTCTATTTAGTGGTCATTTTCATTTACTTAACAGCAGCAAGAAGAAGCAATCATTGAAAAAATGTTGCAGTAACTTGAAGACTAGTACAAGAAAACGACATAAAACATGAGCGCTTTGTAACTCTGACAGAGGCCCAAGTGTTCTCACCCTGGGCCCTGATTATTTCAAAGTTAGGTTGCATGTATTTTCTGCTCCTGTTTCTACCCTGAGCAGAGCCAGTCTCACAGACACCCAAGTGCATCATTTTCATTATATTACAGAAAAAAATCCATATTGCTATTCTTTCCATCTCAGCTTTCCAAATGAGCAAATGATGTAACCAACACGACACGCTCAATCTTTAATTGAATCTGAGAATGTAAGTAATAACATTCCATTGAGGCCACTTTAGTCGAATCTAGAAAATAATAAATTGAAGCAATATTTTCTTAAACTTCTTTGGTCCCTGCAACCACTTAAAGAGATGAGACTAGCAGCAAAAAGAAGCCAGCTAGTGCCAAAGTCGTTCCCAGCACACGAGCCTGGGGCCATGAGTCTTTAAACTTGCTTTGAACTTCACAGAATCCCAACTGGCTCTTCAGATTTGCTTTCTCCGGTACACATCAATCCATCATTCCAGTTTAGGACATACATACAGTTAATAATGATGTTAATTACATCCAGAGTACTTCAGGATATAGCAAAGGAATAACCATATTGCTCTAACTTGTATGGTGGAAGCACGAGAGGCTGAAGAGTATTGAGACACCACCAGGCTTTCCTTTCATCAGAGTGGGATGGCAAGGCATTAGGAGGTCCATTTCAGAAGTTCTGAAGGAGAAAGTACATCCAGCCCGTGGCATTAGAAACACCCCACGATGCTTGTTTGTTTCCTTTCTAGCCACATTCATGGATCGATTTACACATATGCTATATGTTCTCATGACAACACCAACCTTCTACCCAATTCCAGATCAAACATACTCCTTAAGTAATGAGGACAAGGGACAGTGGACAGATTCGGTGGCCTGATTAGCCTGAAGACCCTGTACATCACCTTTCCTTAA